AGCGATAGTAGATGCAATATACATGATCATATAGTTATAGAGATTTTTTCGTTAAGTTTAAGTGATTTCAGTACCTGAATGTAAAATCGAACAAGATTCTCTGGTGAAAAGGCTAAAATATAATATTATATTAAAGTTTCTAAGTTGCAAACAAAATAAAGACCGGAAGCACAGATATAGAAAAATATTTTTTTAAATATAATTTTTGCTAAATGAACCTGATATAAGCCTGGACACACTCGTATTTTATGACAAAGTGCAATCATCACCAGCCGGAATTTGACTAACTGTTGAGACACAAGAACCGGGATGCTAACATTCAATTAATAGAACTTACGTATGACAAAAAGATCACGAATTACAGGTAATGTACAATTCATGATAAAAAACAATTATTACTTAGAAGGTTATTTACCAAATTGCATATATAGTAACATAACAACTTAGGATTCTATGACAGGAAAACACTTATGCATATTAGTCCCTAATTATTAATTCCAATTGAAACTGATGCCATTTTTGAAAAATATAAAAGAAGGGAAAACTATCGGAGACAATATTAATAAGTGTGAATGTATTTTTCAAGGCAACAGATTCAGTTTTATACTACATAATTTCATAAATATGAACAAATATAAACATACCATACAAACAATTATTTTACAAGGGTAACTTTTTCTAGTAACAATTGGAAGTTGCCTAACATCACCTCATACACCAATGCAATTGCTTTGAATCGGTATTGAGAAACACACGTGTTTATTTAGTTTATATGTTTTTTCGGTTTGCGTGCGAGCATATCGGAATTTGTGAATATGTAAGATTGGAAACACTATCAAAAAAATTGAGTAAAACAAAATAGGGTTGGGCCCCGAAATGCCATATGATTACGCTGCCATGTTCAAAAACGTAATTAATCATGGCGAATCGAAAACTGCTATGTTATCATGGGAATAATACATTTTAAAAGTGTATATTACCGAAGACAAAACGCAGTCCAAGAAACAAAGGGCAATTTTTATTATGACATCACAAAATAACACATATTAATACAATTTTAATAATAATAATAATAGTTCAGGCATACATAGTTTAAGCTCCGCTTTTGACTTTGTCGAGCGGTGCTTACCATATGAGAGATTGCACTTCGGCGTCCGTCATCCACATCAATTTGTCGACTTTTTCTTGAAAACTACAAGCCTAATTACTTAGATACTTTAATTCCCTAATTTTTGACATCTTGGTAAAACAGCAAATCCAATTGCTTTGATATTATACATATAGGTACCCCAGATGGGGTATCTAAGATTTGTTGATTTCGTGAATGTATATTCAATTCTTTAATATAGATGAATATTTTTGTCATATTTTTGTCATTTGATTCCTTGTTAAAAACCCCAAGTCCGATCGATTTGATATTATACACAAAGGTACTACAGGTGGTTCTCTCTCAGATTTGTTTATTTTGAGATGATTACAGATATCTTCAATTCTGTGAAATTGCGGGTGCATTACAGCGGAACTATATCAGCCTCGGGCTGATTGTTTGTAAGTCATTTTAAATTGAATTAACAAAAAGACCAATCAAATACAAAAGCACTGCACGTGAAATAGCGAAATATATTTGTCGAGTGTCATTTTAGTAAATCCTGTCTATACAAACTCGTGTCGTATTATATAACAATTATGTTGTTTAGGATTAAATAACTGATCTCACTAAAATCTATTTAATGTCATGTTTACTGACGTCTACTCGAAAATCGACATCCAAGTAGTCTTTATTATTTGCCTTGTGATCACTTATTATCTAATTTTTGTTTAAAATGTTTGTAAATATTTCAATACACACAGTTGAATTTTGTCATGAAATGAGCCTGCCGCACGCGGTTCGACTTCGTCAAGACGCATATCAACAACCCATTCGTGACGATGAGTTGTAGCAGTGTGCGTGGCGTAATTCTACACGGCTGTGATTGCACAGTTGAGATGACAGGTTTTTCAGATGTATTGATTCATAATGGTTAAATGTTTTGAAATGCGTCTTCACTGATTGCGTCTAGTTGGGCAGAAAACGCTCATTCAAGAAGGTATGTTTGGTTTAGTCACAATATGGCTAATGTGGTTCTCATTTTAATTATGGTTTCACCCTTTACAGCAGTATTTTGTAATATAAGCATAACGGTTTTGACACTTTTTATTAATTTAATGCACGTTTCGTAAATAAACTTTCACTGCATTTTGAATAGATAGCAGTACAAAGTGTCTTTCCCATTTCGAGATTGAAAAACCCGAAAACAACTGATTTTGAAAAGCAAATTCAGAAACATTTCAAGAATAATACATAACAACATGTATTTCATATGTAAACCAATAATAACATTCATAATCACCGAATACACGTGCTAATTAAAGACGAAAAATATATTTGGTATATTCCCCGTATTCACTTGAATTATGAATGAAATCAACCGCATTTAAATAAAAGCGAAATATACACTTCGGGACTATTTAAGTTTCTAAGTTGCAAACAAAATAAAGACCGGAAGGACAGATATAGTAAAATATTTTTTAAATATAATTATTGCTAAATGAACCTGATATAAGCCTGGACACACTCGTATTTTATGACAAAGTGCAGTCATCACCAGCCGGAATTTGACTAACTGTTGAGACACAAGAACCGGGACGTTAACATTCAATTAATAGAACTTACGTATGACAAAAATATCACGAATTACAGGTAATGTACAATTCATGATAAAAGCAATTATTACTTAGGAGGTTATTTACCAAATTGCATATATAGTAACATAACAACTTAGGATTCTATGAGAGGAAAACACTTATGCATATTAGTCCCTAATTATTAATTCCAATTGCAACTGATGCCATTTTTGAAAAATATAAAAGAAGGGAAAACTATCGGAGACAATATTAATAAGTGTGAATTTATTTTTCAAGGCAACAGATTCACTAGCCCGCAATGATTTTTAACATGAAGCTGCACAACGCAGTACCTTTGGTAAACATGTTACAATATTAATTTATAGCGAATTACGTATGTATCTTATGCATATTAATGCCTACAACACGCATATTCCTGCTATTCTTCAGTATGTGTCTTTCACTTGCGTTCTGAAAACGAGTGAACGTAACACATACGTTCGGACGATGAACCTGCGAATTACGCAACAACCCGTGGTGTATATATGATTAGCTAAACAATGTAGAATATCTTTTTGCAAATTTACACTATTCATATCCGTTTCCGAGTTATTAATTATAATTCATCTATACAATTTCTGATAATATCCGTCGCTGTCTGTCATTTGTTATTATTGACGACACGTTGTTTACATACATGTTACTATATGTGGCCTTCCTTATATGCGACTCACAACAATCTTAAATGAGTCTAGAATTTGTCACCGAATATACGTTTTTGAAATGGCCATGTTGATTTATGGTGACCGTGTGTTTGAAAATCATTATTTAATTATGTATTCATAATTATACCCTATCCCAATATATATTTTTAATTGCTTGACGGTATTTGATGTCCGTGGAAAACCGACAATTTACATAATGTTGTACAAAGTCACGAATACGTGTTAACAAATTATTCTTTGCTAAAAGAAATAGTATAAGAATAGACATAAACAACATAATAAACAAATAACACCAAATACAGAAGTATGATTCGTATGATGCCAATTGCAATCGACAGACTTGGAATAAAAAACATTAGAGTTTTTAGAGACTTTGCTATCTGTGGCATAAAGGGAGACAGAAAGTGATTTCTTTGGTGATGTGAATCAATAGGAAACCAGTAGAAACGTAGCTTTTGGTGATATTTTGACTCAACGCGAAGACACATAAAAACTGGTGCAATCAGCAAAAGTTTTACCATTACGAATGGGGGATATATAAACAAATTACTATTCAGTGCAATTAATCTTGGACAGCAATGTATTCTGTTAGAAACGTACGTAGCACATCGTAATGGAAAACAGGCAAACAAAATGCAGCATGCTTTTATACAATCTTTAGTTTTTTTAAAGCATTTTAGCTTGTCTGGTCAAAAAACAAATCTCGAGTTGAATCTCGTTAACCAAAGTTGTGCAGTGACCGGGCTATTTATAGTATGTTATTATAACAATTCACGGTTACCGCAAAAATATCAATCCTCAGTCGATAAAATGAAATTAGTTCCTTAACAGTATCGAATAGGACTTGTGAGGGATGAAATGTGGGGATAGATTTGAATTCTGTGATGACTGCTGTGATCAGTATATAATCTGTTACAGAACCTGATTAATGCACGATCTATAACGTATTCATTATACCTTTAAAATACTGTCCATAGTTTGTATGTGAACATCTGTGCAAATTCCAGGATAGATATTCTATTATAATAACTTGTAATATACCATAGTGTTTTTATATAATTGTGATTGAGAGTTACATGAATAGAATTGTCGATAACCCGAAAAGTAACTTTCAAAATGTGAAAATTCACGATGCTGAACAACTGATAAAAAAGCGTGTGTAACTACTTAGTATACGTACATCCACACAGCATTGAACGTCCTCTCTGCGCGCTCAGGCACAGGTGAAACGAACATGACATAACAATGAGCATAAATTTTCAAATTGCGATATTTAATAAATGAATAACAGCAATACAATTACCTAAGAAAATCTCATACAGACACCGATTTTTGTTAAACTAATAAGGCTAGGGAATAGAAATGTCAGTCCGTCAGCAAGTCAGTTTATCATCCTTGCCCGTCTGCATCCGTAGTCACAATTAGCAGGGCAATACAATTGTTGCAACGTCATGGAATTTGCACATTCCTGTGGTGTATTCATTATGTCACAAATGAACGAATTTTCAGCTGAATTTTCACATACGTCTATGAAAAAAATGGAAAAACCTAACGTTAACATAACAAAACATACAGCAGTGAATAATATCGGCCAATTTGTTGTTTTAATTATCAATCAGCAAATCTCTTGATGTTTTGGCGCAATGCAGGTAGGAAATCAACATAACTCTCACCTTCACAATCGTGTCCCATACCGAATATACATGCACATGTACATGTTTCCCTGTGAAGAACACCAATTCCAGGATGATGGCATGATTTCTTACATTCTGTAAAACATTAAACAATGCTATGAGTCAATTGTGTCTAGCCAAACATACATTATAATACATTTATGAAGTAGTTTTGTTCTTTGAGTTACTTTTTTCGAAACAAAAAAAAAAAACTTACCGCATTGTGTAGCGTCACTATTCATGCAACCCGAAACTATAAATAAATAGATGGTGAAACTTAAATAATTAATTAGAATGTGAATCATAACTCTCATTATAAAATATTGTAATGGAATTTATTCGGGGCTCCACTACAAAAAGAAAATTACCCGGCCTAGTAATTTAGGGGCGATAAACGACGACACTTTCTACCGCGATACCGTGTCGCACGGTGTTTTGGCGGACACACAGCACGCACTTTCTTCTCAGGGGGATCCTGGTACCGCCTCGGTTCAACCACTTCACGATGTTATCTAAATAAAACAATTCACACACGGATTGTGGATGAAAACAGAGTAGTTATATTCTCCATGAACCATCACATCAACGCCATGCTGCTCGAACAGAATTACAGAGTGTGTACATGTCAATCAAAAATAGTCATGTGATATTATATACTCAACCCGATAGGCTAATATCTGTAATAGGCGTACATCTAATGCATATATGGAGTGGAATATTCCACCACTACCTGGCGACCCGAAAGGTCTACCTAGGTTAACAAATATCGTAGTTTAATAATGTAATAAAGCACAGGTTTCCATTACAATATGTCATTATATGATAATACACACAACGATATAATGGATGATATGATTTGATGTAATGTGATTTGATTAATTCTGATGTAATGTTAATTGATTTCCTGTTCCATATTAAATGAGTTAATGCAACCAAAAGAATGTGCAGGTTATAGAACAAATAATAAACTTGCCACATAAGCCGTCTTCACAAAATCCATACCCATTGTCACACTGAGAACACTTATTCCCGATTTGGAATGGTGGTTTGAATGGTGTCCATCTATGTGATAAACAAAAGTAACTGATTTATATAGTGGGGTTGATTCATAGCGTCGTAATGAAAATAAAATAATTTATTAACAATGTTTTCTCCATTGAATATGTAAAAAGTATAACTGTACGTACCCTTTATCGTAATAGCAAACTAGGAATATTCCAGACTCTCCATCGTGTATACAACTCGGGTTAACACTGCATCCAACTCGAGATGCTTCGGACCAGACAAGCTGAAAATTATTACCACACAGAGGATTATGCCAAGCTAAAAAAAACTGTAGTACATTAAACTCTTTGTTTCAATTATATGTATTATATAAATAGATTCAATCTAAAATAAAGATACTAAATCACCATAATTGGCGAAGTGTTTAATAATTTCTCTGAAGGTCATTCAATTTTTTCCTGATTCTAATTATCGACTCCCAGACATTATTATTCCACGTTCTGACAAATCAACTTGACAATCTTGAACATGACATATGAATAGGACAATTAGCACTGATTAATATTTGATAAATTTTATTCTGTCTCTCACCTGAAGAAAGTCCTCACATCGCTCATTCTGCGGTTTGCAAGTTTCCCATTCACAACTGTAAACATCAGCTTGTTTGAACCAACTTTCAATAAGATTTTCAACAGACATGTCATGACCAAAAGCTAGATTCCAACCAGAAACTTGTGGATTCACCTCACCAAAGAAATCATCGTAAATATCCAAATTGATGGCACGATTATTTGTTATATTATAGCAAGTAGCGAAGTCACGTGCTTTTAATTCAAGGTATGTATCCCAAATCTAAAACAAAAATAGAACAATATGCAGACAAACAAATTATGTCGTAATCTTCTTGCCGTGTGATTACGACTTGTGCGCTGTGGGTATACTCATGCTTTACTTACAAGTTTGTCCATGAACACTAAACCATCTTCTATCCCACAATGCATTCCAGCATTCCGTCGGAAATTGTTATGAATATTAACAATCATCTCCTTTTCTATATCGAGGCAATGTGCATAAAGTGTCACTTGTAGTATGCAGTGAAGTCCTGAGAAAACAAACGTTGTAGTTGATTTACATTCGTATTCAGACTAATATAAATCGCGCCCTCAAGAGACGAAGAGCTCCTTTGACGTTAGGTTTGTGTGAGGGTATATGCTAAGAGGGTGGATAATCATTCATTTGTGTTTATTTCAAAATGTCAAAGCATTTAAATCTTTTTTCAATAACAAATAACAAATATGAAAGAAAATAAAAAAGAATAAAAATATGTTCTCTTTAACATAAAAATTGACGATCAGTAATTAATAACAGTTTACCCTTGACCGACGATATATAACGAGACTTAATTTGCTTTATCGAATTCTTTGACTTAGAAACAAACCTAAGAAATACAAATTATGCAGGGTGACGTAATGAGGAACATTCAATTTAAATCATTTTATTTATTGTCGGTCTTCGACTGTCCATACAGACACTCTGACCTAACAAATAATACCAAATATCTGTAAGTATAATGTCTATTTTTTATTTTGGCCAAATTCACATGTACGGAAAATCAAATGTTGGTTATCACTGGCGTATTATTGCGTAACGAGTGCATTGTGTCACACTAGTAAGACCCATTTTAATATAGACGTAGCAATTATTACAGTGATTGAGTGGGCAGCCGACACCACTATGACAACACAGTTAATCAGGGTTGTGGCTGTTCACAATTTCTATGAGTATGAATAAATTAAAGGCACTGTATTTGACGAAATGTAAATGAGGAAACATTTAAAGCACTTCACAAAAACACGATTGAGTAATACTTCAGACCACGTTACGAGTAGGCGTGCAATTTTCGACTAGAACAATTACGACGATACACGTTTGAAAACCAATTTAGAACATGTTGAGGCTAGATCAATTTAGAGCAGATTGCGATGAGACACAAATAAAAAATGGAGAACTTCAGGATAAGACGCGAGTGACACATAATTCATAGCATTTTGTCAGTAGACACAAGCATTACCCGTTTGTTATGAGACGCGTGTATGATATTAAATCATAGCACTTTGCCACGAGATACAAATGAGAAACAACTTATACCACTGTATGGCTGTACTGTATGCAAAGGGAACCAAATTAGAGCATTTTGCCACTGAGCGCGAGGGAGAACCAATCAATACCATTGTACGACGAGTAAAAAGGTGAGAAGCAATTGTGACTAGAAGCAAACGATAAATAACAGTTAAGTAAATTACGTTACTTGACATGAATGAGACCAATCTGTGCACGCTGCTAGTTGCAAAAGAAAACCTCTTAGAAGTTTTATCATGACGCAACAGCAGATCTGAAATGTCTGTACACGTTCTTTGCAGTGGGCTAAAATAGCAAATAATACATACATACATAGTACAAGTAACGTGATACAATTACTTTCGAAGACTGATCGAATTTAAAATATTCTTATCTCCAATCCTCTGAACAAAACGTTTATGGTACATAAATCATCAATACCCACATATAGACAAACAGACAACATTCATTTAACAATATATAAAAGTAGTAAATAATTACCAAAGACCAATGCAATGCACAACTTCTTACTCAGAACCATTATAAAAGATAGACGTTTCTTCTTGTAACTGGAAATGTACGAGAACTAGTGGTATATTTGTCTTCTTATATATATTTCCCAAAAGTTGACGTCAGTAGCGTTCGCATTTGTAATAAAGATGGGATTTAAAACGATTATTTCGTAATCAATCTTCTAAACAATAATTGTTTTATTTTAAGTATGTAAGCTATAATTTAGGGATGCAGATTGGCATATTCTGCACTTCACTTTAATCACTCATGTACCACGATAATCCTCTTATATTATGGGTATCCAAACAATATAAATTTAATAATTAATAGCATCGACGGATCTAAAAAAGCGTTTTGCCAACAGTAAGGGGCATTTTCTTAGGTTTAAACTTTTATGTAAAAAAGACTGACCAATATTATTGGGATCACACAGTCTTGCTTTTTTACGATTTGTTTTTTCGGGCATAAATAAACACTCTAATTGTTGTGAAGACCTATCACTTACGATTTACTGGGCGTCAAAACACTAGTCACAGAAGAATTTATGACCATTAAAAAATTAACGCAGAAACATCACTATTCATCTATTGATATGCAAATTAGTGTATACATTCTGATATCAAAATAATCAATCAAATTAGCACTACTCAGCAGGCATGCGTCAGATCTTTCCATTTTTATTCGAGAGATTGTAGATGTAATATACATGATCATAACAGTCATCGAGCTTTTTTTGTTAAATTTATTGTTTTCATGTTTTATTCTACATATAGCATACAAATAATATTTTTACAAACTTATTCCAGTAACCATTGAAAATTATCTAACATCACTTTATTCACAACGCAATTACTTTGAATCAGTATTGAGAAACACATGTGTTTATTTAGTTTTATTTTATATGTTTTGTCGGTTTGTGTGCGAGCATATCCGGGTTTGTGAATATGTAAGGGTCGGGCTCCGAATTTTTAAATGATTCACGCAATCGTGTTCACGTAATGAGTACTGTATAAATTGCATGGGAATTTGTGGCAAACAAAATCGTGTATGAAAAAACATAGTTAATCATGGCGAATCAAAAACTGTTATGTTAACATGGGAATAATACATTTTAAGATGTGTCGCATTATATAACAATTGGTTGTGTGGGATTAAAGTAAGGATCTCACCGAAAACCAATTATTTTAATTCAACTGACGTTAACTCGAAAATCGATACCTATGTCCACGTAGGCATCAAATAATTTATATTAATTGTTTGTCATCTCTCCGGCGTTTTCTTTTGTTTTGTGTAAAATGTAAATATTCCAATACACACAGTTGAATTTCCTCATGAAATGAGCCTGCCGCACGCTGTTCGGCTATTCAAGGCGCGTATCAACAATGAATTGTAGCTTGGCACAGCTTTACGGTTATGATTGCACAGTTGAAATGACAGGTTATTCAGATCTATTGATTCAGTATGGTTAAATATTTTAAATCTCGGATGAAATGAAATGCGGCAGTCTGTCATATATGTGTCGTCACCGACTGCGTCAAACTGATTGAAACACGTTTATCCAAGAAGTTAATTTGATGAACTGTTGAGA